CCCCCCAAAAAAAAAGCAAACAATCAAACAACGTCAAAAACAAAACACAAACAAACAAAACCAAGAACACCCAGTCAGACACACCGAAACAAATTGGGACCTAACCAAGAGTCAGGGACGGAATGTCTAGTTTAGTGAAAAATAAGGTGGACAGACAGGTAAAATGTAAGGAAAGGTAGGAAAGGAAAAATCACTTGGAAAGATGAAAATCGCATATGTGCTTCTGATGACCCCATCAGATACGAAGTCCTCCAGGAAATACATATTTGAAACAGCCAGGAAAAACAAACATGCCTTTTATAGACTTACTTGTCCCGCCATGAAAAATGCAAACCTCGGTATGGTGCGTGTGTACCCAGGGGGTGGGAGGGAGGAAGGGGGAATAGATTTTGTAAAGAATCCGTTGAAAGCTACCTTCAGCAGAAATATTCATTTGCGCTGCCCTGCTCTCCAAAAATAGACTGCAGCGTGAAAACCGAGGTAGCATTTGGAGCTAACGAGTGTGAGACGACCATGTCAGTCTGAAAAGTGACTGTCAGGAGCTCGTCTGGGTGTCAACCCAGGCAAGCCTGGCTGGCAACAGGGAGGAAGAAAAAAACCCGGGGTGTGCGAAGAGTTTTAAAAAGGGACTTTATCAAGTCTACAGTTTTTTGCGAAGTTGGGCAAATTCCAATAAATCATATAGGAAGAGCGATTTCTAGTTGTGCGGGAGTTTGGGTCTGGGCAGAGGTACTCGCAGCCGCGCCGCTCCAAAGAGATGTAGACGTGCTGGAGGTGGAGGGAGAGAGCAGGGAACTAGATCAGAGAGCACTTCAGCGGTAAAGGTTTCATCGCTCCGAACCCCGAGCCCCGACTACCCTACCTACGGAGCTGAACACAGAGCGGGCAGGCTCTGACGGGATATCTGATCCCACTCCCCACTTTTTTTCCCTTTCTTTCCCACCTTCTCCGGAAGGTGAGCATCTGTTCTCCCCGCTGCGAGGCCCGGCTTTTGCCCGGTGCTTCGGAAACGCCGGCGACAGGTGCCCCGGGGGGAAGTGGCCTCCCCGGCAGCGGGTGGACACGCTGTCCTTCACAAGGACGTGGCGAAGGTGCACGGCCAGTCAGTCAGCCGTGGGTGAGACATCTGTCCCTGCACACCTGGAGTCCTGCCGCGAGGGGTGCAGGTGACTGAGCACCTCTGGTTCAGCGTCATGCGTTTATTCCAAAGTGCCTGAATATGGTCCCCGTTCTGTCACTGGAGAGCTGCGTGACGGGGCACTACCAGAGACTGAG